GAGGAGATCGCTCCGATCAAGGACGACGTGACACACATGAACCAGTTGGCGTCCACATTCGATCCACCCGACATCCAGCTGTCGCCCATCAACCTGGAACGCATCGAAGACCTCAACACACGCTGGAGGCTGCTCCAGGTACACGCTGCAGACACCTACACACACATTTCCACAGGTGTAGAAACACTGACAACTACTGGAGGACAGGTGAGGAGTGACGATTGTTGTCGTCAAAAGAAATAGTCAGCGTGCTTTGATCAGCTGCTCTGGAGCCCCGACATGCCATGGCACCACAGTTCAAGGTGTTTGTGCCAGATGTTCTCTCAGGGCAGTAGAACTGTACTCTGACAGCCCAGTCCTGGGGCATTAATATCCGGTGCACAACCACATGAATGTTAAGGAAAACAACGAGCATGCTCCTGGTGCACACCCTCTCCACTCTCGGAGACTCTTCCCTCCTTCCCTCGGTGGTGGCCACAGACCTCACGTCAGCACTGATGACTTTACTTGAAGGTTGGGTCGTCCTGGATGCTGACACAGAATTTATTTTGCTATCTGCTCAAGATTTTAGGTCCAAGGATAAATCCCAAATACGTGTGAAGCACAGGTCCTATTGTTGATAGAATGATTGTCTTCACTATTAAAAAATACTGTTGTATCATGTCAACTTACATTTTTTCCTAAATTGTGAAAGCTCCTGCTCAGACATGATGTGTGTGACCGTGATGTGCTCATTCCACATGCAACACAAACAGTCTCAGCAGTCACAGTTTGGATTGCACCATGTACTTGACTGGGCCTGGTCCTGAGAGTATTACCCCCAGAGCAGGGCTGTGAAATCCTCTACAAGTAGAGTTCCTGGAATGGCTCGTGGTCTCCAGGGAAGCTCCTGCAGTGAAAACATGGCTACTCATGTGCATAAGATGCTTTACCAGCATCAATCAACTTTAGTCTTTTCAGGTTAGTTTGCACTCAAGGACAAACCAGCACACACACACACACACACACACACTAACAAGGCACTGGTGATCAGAAGCCGTGCGGGGTGTGCCTCCATCATTCCCAATAAACCCAGCAGCAGCCACGTTGGAAGTCTAACTGTTACTATAACCAGACATGACAAATAGAGCCCATCAGCTGCCAGAGAGACCAGTTACTGCTGAGGCGCTCCCGGCTTAGATGGTGACACCGTGATGACAGGACCAGAAGGCCGGTCTCTCTGAAGTTAGCACCTGTCCAGATGCTTGTACACACACACACACACACACACACACACCCCTTTATTCTGTAATGAATACAGTAGCACCGATGTAATTGATCTAAAAGTCAATGGGAACGGCCGTTCTTCTGAAGTGTCCTTATATTTTACTTCGGGGTGTTTTACTCACATGTGTTCGTTTATCTTGAAATCTTGAATATTCTTAGTAACAGTCCAATACGATGTCTTTTCCTTTCAAAGTGCGCAGACAAGAATCATGGTGCAGGCTGTACATGTACAGTTGTGAACAAAGGTTGAAACACATCTGTCCCCGTCACAACAAAGCAATGCTGCATTTTGGTTCTTTCATGATTTTTATAGGTCTTGTGGAATACGACACAATCTGCTGGGTCAACAATATGCACAGAGCAGTGGTAGTATGTGGTGAAATGTGCTTTGGTCATGTCCTACATGAGAGGAAATCATTATCTCGTCTATATAGACCAGAGAACAGAGCGTCATGGCAGAATGTAGCATAGCTTACTGTCCGTCTAAAACCGTCCAGTTTTACTGTCTGACCACCTGTATATGTACATGTATAGATAACCATAGTATAATCGTGGACTTGCTATGTATGACCTGTTTTTACATTTTAAGGGGGAAAAACCTGAAAAGGTAAACTTTAAAATAAAAGCGTGTTAATTCTATTTACTGAACACATTTCTTCACTGCACTGATGAATTGTTGTAGCCAGTCGTCTGTGCATGTCACCACAGAGTTTTGTATTTAAGGCAGGAAATACTGCTTTCCTGGGGGACAGGTGGACACAACCTGTTTAATATAGCATGGGATGACAAGCAGCAAGAGACTCCCACAAAATGAACGTTTAGATCAGTCTAATGACCTGAACAACTCTTTCTGAGTCCCAACCTGAAACCACTGAACATACAGTTTGTGTTGTATGTGTTTATACTTCATCCCTCATTTCTGTTCTTTCTGGATTACAGGTGATTAATTCCAGTCCAACCACAGAAGAACAGTTTCTTTAAACTAATTGTTGTTGTCTTAGCGTGATGGCTAATAACCGATGAGCTCACAGAACACAACTTACTGAGAGAACTGTAATGATCCTGGGTGGAGAGCTCCATCCTGCAGATCCACCAGCTGCCATTGCATCCCGGAGATTTTAGCTTCACTTTGTGCAGCAGGAAGAGAAGGAAACAGGTTCTGCGTGTTTATGTGCTGCAGGTGCTGATGGCCTGATGGCGCTCTGCAGATGTGCTCACGTCCTTCCTCAGTAGTCTTGGTTTGCCGGCCCGTGCTGAAGCACATACTGGATGTGTCGTGACAGAATGTGAAGCTGAATTCAGCTCTCTTTAGTCCATTCAGTGTTCTTTCGTGCCTCAGACGTCCACATTGAGGCCCAGTGCACGCTGAGTAACTCCAACTAACTCTCCTGAACAATCTCACTCCTTTTATTTGTACAATTCTAATTAGGTTACCATGGATACGGGGGAAAACAACTCAGGCAGAAATGGACTGGGTGAGGTGGACTTGAAGGTAATTTCATCATGTGGTTTAATGTCACATTTAAGAAGTAGGACTCGTCTTCACCGCCATGTCTTCATACGTTCTTCATCTCATACCGTGAAGCTCATGCACACACACACACACACACACACTCTGCTGTGTGTGTGTGTGTCTCATTTGGGTGGCGGATGAAAGGCTCGATGGTTAATAGCTGACGTCTCCTCCAGTGGGATAAAAGCCCATCTCAGTCCCTTGGCTTCAAGACTTCTGTCAGAGAAAGTTGCCTTTAAGTTGCCAAAGATTCACTTTTCTGCTTCCTGGAATAAAAATTAGTGGCTAATCAGTATCTGCCAAAGCTTCGCATGGCGGCCTGAGCTGCATGTGTTGCCTGGGAACATTAGATCACTGAACACTGGCTCAGGAAGCATCAGTGATTATAGACACACAGCTGCTCCTCTGGGGACTTTCAGGATGCAGCTTACTGGCAAGTGTTGGTGCTGGACTGAAATTCTGCTGCAAGCATCATCTGGTGTTTGACGTGAACCACTCGTCAGATTAGAAAGGCTTGACGAGGGAGCACAATTTGGGATTGAGTTTCCTCGGTATTGTGGTGAAGTCTTCATCCTTACTCAGACGGCAGAGTTGTGTTGTGCGTGAAGGGGCTGTGTGAGGGTCACACGTTTGTCAAATACATAATGAACGTGCATAGCAGCTTATGTTCTATGGTCTGTGAGTACGGACAGATTTCTGCTCTTTGACCAGCAGCAGTGACTGTGTGCCAGTGTTGTTAGACTTCTGTAACCATGACTTCTGACAAGGCTGGGCTCAGTATCCCCGCTGGTTCTAGTCTAACAAATTTCTGATTCGAACTGGGTAAACGATGCACCATTCTTCCCATTTGAGTTCCAGCAGGAAGGTAAATAACCATGTTTCTGAAAATGCTGCGGCATTCACTTAAAACCTCATGGAAAGCTGAATTAAAGCCAAGCTGATGTTGTTGCGTCCTGTTATCACTCAGTCCAGCCTAGTGTCATTGTCAGAATGTGAATCTGACATAGGCATGAGCAGAAGGTGGGAGCTGACTCTGGTTGCTTTCTTCTGGGTTTTTCCTCCTCTGTATCTTTCTGGATCCTGGTGTACGCAGATTATTTCTCCTATATTCTGCATCAGTGTGTTAAGTACTTCAAATAGGTAAATTATCAGCGGTGAAGAGGATTTTCATGCCAGTGATACAGTAAATTGAAACACTACGAGGTTTGTGTTTACATTTAGATCAATGATATTGAGTCTGTAAGCCAAGCGACAGACACGTGTCCTGCCAGGCTGAGCTGCTGTGTATACCTATGTAGTCGTGCTGGTTTGGCACAATTACTTCAGCTCCATGCAGATGGAGTAAAAGAAGAATCTCAGGAGACTGCACCCTCTCTAATTCCTCCATTACAAATTCGGTTATCCCTCCATTCTCATCGCTGTGTCCAGTGTCGCCCTCCATCTTTGCATCTGCTGCTAAAACCATGTATTTCATGTTCTTTAAGCAGCTGCTGTGTCTGCAAGTGTTTTTCTGAGTCTGATGTAAGGGGAAATGCAACAGCTCGCATAGCGTCGCTCTTGAAACATGAACAGAGCAGCAGTCCGTCTATCAGCCTGCGCACACAGAAACAGAACCAGGAACTGGCCTTTGTTGGGGGGAACATCAGCATGCTGCACACCGAACCTGCTCTGACAGGTCCGGTGTGCAGCATGCTCGACAGATCAATAAAAAGTTTGCCCACTGACCAGTCAGTTGTCCTACGTAGGCTAGATTTTAGAGGCCATCTGAGGCATTTCTTTCCTACAGACATATACATTAGTTGAGAAAACTCCAGATTTCCTTACTTATTGTTTTTTTCCTTTTGACTGCAAGCAATTTGGAAGCCATTTAACACAGCCGGGGTTGCAGCTGAACAATGACCTTACCTGGCAGAAGAACAGGGTTCATGTGAGCAGCACGTCTAGTCCAATACAAAACAAAAAGGGATGGTTGGTATGTTGAACTTGCTGCGTAGTACAGGTTGCAAGTAAACACAATTCAGGAAAAAACAAAACTTCTACATCATCAACCGCCGACTTGCAATCCTGGGTCAGCATCACCAGGAATGTTAGACGGCTACAATATCTCTCATCTAATGACACTACATCAGTTATATCACTAAACTAAATATTAGTAACAGTTTCAGGTACTTTGGCTAATTCAGAAGAGCCAGTGTTTGTTTTCCTTGATACCACATGTAGCTAAAAGACTGGCACTGGAAATAACCGTCTTGGACTTACAGGCGAGCGTCTCCTGCTCTCAGCCTTCTGCATGTGGAAGCCAAGTTCTCTTTACTGTCCCAACCTCTAACCCAGGTTCAAATCATATGATATATAATGATGACTCTACCTTTAACTCAAACAATTCAATGTGTTCATGTGATAGATTTCTTTTTTTGTTTGTTTTGTTTTGTTTTTTAAAATATCTTATTTAGATTTTTTCCAATAAAAACAAACAGACAACAGGCACGAGGACAAGAGGACCGATGGAGTTTCAAAATATGTAAAAGAAAACTAACATGTCCATAAAATGTAAAGAAAAGCAGCTCCTCGTCCATAGGGTCCTAAATCAGAAACAAAATTAGCCGAATAAAACAGGAAAACTAAAACACATTGTCGAACCAAACGAACAGAAGACCGTGGGTGGAGTCCTGTTGCATACGTCACACAGTCATCAGACAAGGAGGAGCATGAGCAGAGTGCACATACAGGTTCTTACAGTTACAGAAAAGGTTTCCACATCTTTAAGAAGCAGTTGTAAGAATTTGATCTGCTGGCGCGAATCTGTTCCATCTTAGCAGCAGAAAGCATCTCATTAAGCCACCTGTTACAACATGGAGGTGTTGTGATTTATTTGTTGTTTTGATTCCAGTATTGATAATAACGGTGGGACAGAAACAGCCATTTATCCATCTAAAGGGTTTCCTTCTTTCTCTCTCAGATCTCCATCAAAGACCATCTGAAGCAGCTGACTGATGCTCACAGAGACTTTGGCCTTCTGCACGGTGGGTAGAACACAAACTGAACTGGGCGCCCACCTGATGACAGCAGTTGCACACAATAAGTGATGTGTTAGCCAGCGAGGGAGAGAGAGCATCACCACCTGATCAGTGATAACAAGGAGAGAGCAGACAGGGTGCTTTCCAGTATCCATGCTTCCATAGCATTTAGTGTGTCAGAAAAAGACCAACACAAGCATGCATGTGTGCCAGAAACACCAGGATGTCTGACTGCATCCGCTCAGATTTTGCAAAAAGCAAGCTAGTGTGCGTTTCTGGCTGTTCTGACCCACAGTCCTCTGCGCAGTTACATCACACACATCACGGTGTCTCGCACAAATATAGCAAGCTTAAGAGCACACGTACAAGTGACAGCTCATTTTTTTCTACAGACTGTCGTTGTGTGTCCCAATTTTCTGCACACTGCATGAAACAGTGTGTACTCTGTAAGGGCACGTGCAGCATCACTGACAGTAGAAATGTGTGTGATCTGGAAAGCAGCCTGTGACTCACTGAGCCTGTGATGGCGTATTAATCTGTTTATGCACCTCGAGTTTGTTTATTTTTTATTTTTAGCTTTATCTCCAGATTCAAATATGACCCCAGCACTCACTTATTGTTGCATTGCTTGAAACAGATGCACACAAGGTCAGGGCTCCTCTTTGTAAGCGGTGGGCATGGACTGCACTAAGAGTCTGTGTGTTTTTATTTATTCTTTCTAAAAACCAACAACTCAAGACGAAAGCGTGAGAACTGGATGACACAGTTTGTTTGCCTGCTCTCTCTAATGTGAGATGCAGACATGAGTCCGACTAATTAGCACGTTGCTTGTACTGGTAAACTACCATTAGTTTCAAGCAGGCAAGCATATCATCAGCAGACACCAGCAGAGCCAAAGGGTGGCCCAGAGTGGCCATGACCAGCACAGACTGAAGTCAGCCAATAGTGAAGTCTGTTAGAGCGCATGTGCCCATAGAGCTGGAGTTACATTCAGTGTAGACTGCTTGTCTGGCAGAACATTTTGCAGAACCATTTCTTTAGCGCCTTCTGACGGTGCAGCCACCACTTGTCCAACCGAGTCATTCTGACCAATAGGAAAATGTTGATACCGTTCTGTGGCAATTCAGAGATTCTCTATTATTTGTCCTTAAACAGTGTGAAACAGCACCACATAGGATACGGGATGGCAACGCAGTAGTGACGATGCACACCAGTGAAAGCTTCCAATCACCTTTCTGTCTGCATGGCTGCACTCTGCCCACTGCTTTCTGTTCACACACAACTAAAGTCCACGGATAGCTAAAGCTCATGACGTCACTGCCATGCTCGTGGCAGTGATTAACGTTAAACAACCACAGGGGGGCTTAAAAGAAAGAAAGACCAGAAATACACGATAGACACTGGTTGAGTGGTTGAACAGTAAGAACAGATACCACTGAGATGACTGATCAGCAGCTACATGCATGAACTACATTATAGAGAGAAACATGGAACAGAATGTCCCTTCCACATAAAATGAAGTGTTGGGGTTGTCACATTCATTTCTACACTTGGCTTGATAATAATGAACCTGTGGTAGATGTTACAGACAGGGATGGGTTATGATGAAGATGATGAAGGTCTGAGTCCAGGTTTTTCATTTCTTGCTGCTGATATACGCTGCGTGTGTTTTTGTGGTTGTCCCACTACGTTTTCTTTCTAAATGCAGCAAATTGGCACAATAACACTTATGCAGTTGGTAGTGATCTGATTGGTCAGAGATGCATTCCAGCTGTCCTGACAATTCCCAGAAAGCACATCTGCTCCAGTGGTTGGTGTGCTAGCTCTTGTGGGCGCAGTAAGTGAGGTAGTTAGCAGTATTTTGTTTTCTGCAGTTTTTCATGCCAACAGTCATGTAAACAGAGTTCCCAGAGAGTGATGCTTCTGCTCCTCAGATAGGATGCAGTGAAATGGTGGTGTTGTTGTTGTTGTTGTTGTTGTTGTTGTTGTGAGCCTCTTCTTTTCTTCTCTTTGTCAATGCAGGATCTGTAGAGAGCCCCTTTGAGCAGGGCGTCTCCCCCAACAACGTGCCCTATTACATCAAGTAAGTGCCTCAGAGCTGTGTCCAGCAGCTCTTTTTCATTCTAGCAGACAGCAGTGATTGCTGTTACACAAACGTCCAGCTGGACTTTAGCTAGCACGACGAGCTGAAGTCAGTCTGCACCAACACAACAACTTCCATGACTGATTTAATGACAACCAGAGAATACGTTGACAGAGGTCACAGGGGTCAACGATGGGACGACGAATAAAGTAATAAACATGAAAATAAGAACAATTTAAAAGGAATAAATCAATAAAAGCAATGCCAGTAACTATAAATAGGAGCAGCAATCTGTGTGTGTGTGTGTGTGTGTGTGTGTGTGTGTGTGTGTGTGTTGGGCTAAACCAGCTTTATAGAAAAATCTAAACGAATGCTGATGCCTGCTCACTCAGAGGGCAGTGAGGCTGTAGGCAATGCTGCGTACCATAACCAACCTCAATGATCAATCCTAAAGCGGACTGTATACACAGGTTGTGTCTATAAATGACATCCCATAATATTTCAGCTTTGATGACAGCATGTTAAAAGTACGTATTTCCTCAGTCACATGCCTGGATGCTCACAGTGTCCAACAGCTGTCTCTGTTGTGATGTTATCGGATGAATGCATTTCAAATGTCATTGTCAGAATGTCTGATGCACAGTTAAAGACCAGTTTGAAATTATGAAGACAGTTCTGAATGAGATTAAATGTATATTTAGAGCTTCAGTAGAATAAAGGACCAGGATATTGAGGAACTCTCATTCCAGTGGGGAGAAAAGAGACCTGATTATTGTCTCTGTTGACACACCGAGACCCGTCTGAGAGACCACTCTACAGCAGCCACCTTTATCAAACCCAGAAAACAAAGCTGTTGTAAGAGCGTAGGATGGTCAGCTGTGTCACAATCCTTGAATTAATAATGGACAGCACAGTGTGTTTAAAGCTGAGACGAGATCATTAACATGTCTGAAGTCACAATAAAAGTGACTTGTATGGAAAAAGTAGCTGAACATTATGTCAGCTGTTGATCAACAAGTGTGTCAAGTGTTTCTGCAATACAACCTAGTTCTGAGATTAGTCGGTAGTTATTTGATTCTGCCTAAATCTGAAAAACAGTGGCAGTCTTCCAAACCGTAGGAATGATGCTGGAGGTAATGAGATTAAAGTACATATAGTACATGAATAATAATAATAGATTTAATAGTAGTGACCCTGCTCTAGGTTAGAACCTGTTTTCAATGCCTCCTGTCATTTTTGTTTGTCACTCCTAAATGGGATTAAAGATAAGTCTGGGGTTATTCTATATTATTCTTTTTGTCAACAAATCCAATAAGACAACCCAAACCAGCGTGTTCTCTGCTCTGTGACTGTCAGCTGGTTCCTAATGGAGACATTCATTTATTTTCAGAGCTCAGTAAGCTGCTGTTACTTCACCAGGAGGAAACAGTCAAACTAATTATTCTACATTTTGCTCCTCTAGTGCAGCAGTTCCCAAACTTTTGAGACCCTGACTCCTAAACTAGTAGAGATCGCTGACCCCCCCACTGCCTCCGTAGATGGTTGAAGCGCGCACTAATGCACTCATGCATGCACACACTGGTACCCAGCTACAGAAGAACACAACAGTAATTTAATGTTAGAAGAATACATCAGTCTACGTAGTCTCCATACATGGAGTGTAGCGCCAAGTAACCAGAGCAGACTCACATGCGCTGTCCTTTTCTTCATTGGCTGATACTTTAGCCATCCTTGTAGTCATTCCTCAAACCGTCCACACATCCATCCTGACTCAGTTTCAGAGAACCAAAGCACAGAACGCTAGCTGAATCCCAACACAGACGCAGTATCGCTGGTGTTTCATCCTCTGGCTACAGGAAGAAGGAATGAGCTGGTGTTTCCTGTGGTGGGGAGCTGTGGGACAGCCGGAGCAGGGCACACATTCTGAAGTGTGGTCGTCCTGCTCCTGTTGGTTTCTCATGTGATGGGAGTCGTTACTCTTTTCACACTATCAGCACAATCACTGTTGAATTCTGGATATTAGTTAAAACTGTGACGCTAAATGAACCCCACGGCTGAGCTGTGCAACCGCAGAGTCGCTGCTAAAGTGAAATCAATCTTTAAAAATGTGTTAGAACTTCTTTAACACGACTTCTCCGAACAGCCAGGTACTGTCAGCGGTTTCATAGATTTTCATTAAAATAGTTTCTGAAACAGTTCATTCATTCATTTAGTCTTGAAACCTGCTCGTGGAGCCCTTGAGTCGCGCCGCATTGCTCTTCTGAATGCGAGGAGACTGTTTACTACTCATCAGCAGACAGCAGAAGTTTGGAGGTGGGATGTGTTATGGGGATGTGTTAGGTATGCTCTGTCCTACAGTATGTGCCTCCGCATTGCAGGCTGTCGCTGAGCTGCTACAGCAAAGGAATGTCAAACGAGTCCAATGATTTTTGGCCCTACATGCAGTCATGTTGCTCTCAATTGTTTTGCAAGACGGGCGCGATTAGAAGATTTTCATGCTAATTTAAAAACTACAAATCAGCACCTGCGTTTTGAAGTTTGAAAAGTAGCTCCAAAATGGACACTAATGTTGTTTTTATGATTGCAGCCAGTGCACCTTAAAGTGCTGCTCCTTTACACTCAGGTGTAGCAGTGCATCTTCAAAAATCAACCACAACAACAACAACAGAGCAAGCCCTTCTCCCATTGGTCACCACAGACTCAGCCAGGACAGGCCGTTCATCTCCCCATTGGTCAGTTTTGATAGCAGGGCTGCTGTCAGTCACTCAGCAGCAGCCAATCAGGTTACAGTACCCGTGGAACGTTCAGGAATTACGAAAAAGGAACGAAAAAAGAAGAATGATGATGAACGGGGAGGTCGGCCTCGCTAGAAAAACAAACTCATTTTAAACCCTGACTTTTTTAAAACTTTTTCATAATTTAATTCAAAAAGCTAAACTTCTATATTCTATATTCATGACACATAAAGTCAGATATTTCAAGCCTTTTTTTTTGTTTTAATTTTTATGACTATACCTTATGAAAATCAGAAATCCAGTTTCTCAGATAATTAAAATATTTCCCAAGATGAATCAAACAAATAAAGGATTTAGCACACAGAGACGTCCACCTTCTGTAAAGTATGTTCATTTATGCACTGAGTACTTGGTTGGGCCTCCTGTACGTGGCATGAAGGCGCTCGGCCAGTGGCGCTGCTGAGGTGTTGCTGAAGCCGGTGGCCTTCAGCTCATCTGCATTTTTGGGTCGAGTGTTTTCGTCCTCAGCTCGATAGTACCCCTTATGGGGTTCTATGGGGTTCAGATCTGGGCTATCAGTCCCAGTCAGGCACCCCTGTTGCTGTTGCACCTTTTCCTGTCACACTTTCCCCGTTCAGTCGGCTAACCATCGGTGTGCTTGGAATCAGCTCTCTGCCGACAGAGCAGCCATCTTCTGTGTCCTGTCCTCCCACACGGAGAGATACCAGATGTTTGTATTGTTTTAATAGTCATTTACTTAAACTCTAAATAAAGTAGACTGATATATTGAGATCAAACCTCTAATCATCAAAATTAAAACAACAAAAGGCTTGAAATTATTTATGTGTAGAATATTTTAAACCTTCACTAAACAACAAATGGAAAATATTAAACGTTTTCATGTTGTTCTCATTTTGTGGGATGCACTAGTACAGACGAGCCGTGACCAACTTTTCAGTACGTTTTTTTGTGTATTTAATCTGTTTTCATGCATCCAACTAAAATCAATGCAAAACCCAGAAGTCAGTTTTTGTGGTTCGGCATGCTGACAGTCCTGATTCATGGGAGTCAGAGCAGTTTCTGTTTGGATTGCTGCTAGAGGTGGCATTTCAAATACAGTATTTATTATTCTTGAATGCAGCAACATCAGCCGTCGAAAAAAGTCTGTAAGGAAAGCCAGTTAAACGGAAGCCAAGGTTCAGCTCAGGAGGAAAACGGTGCACTTTATTTAATGCCACACTTCAATGTGAGTGCAGTAGTGATGGTGATAGTGGCTAGCCACTGGTCAGAATAACCACACCCTGAGATGGGTCAGCCTACCTACCTGCACAGGCCTGCTAGTGGGCAACCAGCTGCTCTGTACGTGTGATTGGACGATAGATGACTGAGGTAGCTGGTGCCACATACCTGGTTGATCAAAAGTGTGTTTTGAGGAGCATGTGTGAATATGAAGAGAGAAAAAAGTTGAAAGAGGAGGGAGAGAAAGAGAAGTGACAGATTCTCCCCTCCATGTGCAGAGATCAAGCTGGACCTGACCTGATGACTGACACACTGTGAGTGCCAGCTGACCCCACACACACACACACACACACACACACACACAGAGCCAGATGTGTGTCGACATTACACCCAGGAATGAACATCAGATGCTTACATGGCTGTTTAACGTTTGCTGCTTCATACTTACACTCCACTAAACACCAGTGTGTAACAGTGACTGTCTAACTGCACACAAACTGTGGCTGCACCCAGTTCTTGTTTTCATTGGCTGTTAAGTTGATGATCATGAGATTAATTGAATCTTTGTCACGACCAGTAAACACAGCATGTATTATAACGCTTTCAAAGCAGAACTTTGATTTGTAGTTGCACTGTATGTTGACCTCACCAACCCCATACGGCGGGTCGCCCTCCTTTAACCTGGTCCTGCCAGAGTTTTATTCCCATAGAAGGATTGTTTTTCTCCCATAGACAATGCATAACAGACCAAAAAGCATTTGGAAGGTTGGTGAGGCCAGTAGCCACAGATAGAGAGGACAAAACACAAAGTTAATGACATGTTCTGATAGCCGAGAGAGGAGGAGAGGCCTCAGTGCATCATGGGAAGTCCTTTGGCCACTTCGGCCGATAACAGCAGGACTAAGGGTTGGTTCAGGGTCGCAGGAGCCCGTCTGTACGACAAGTTTTATCAAAAAGGAACGTTTAAGCCTAATTCTACAAGGAGAGAAGGTGTCTGCCTCCAAACTAGGAGCTGCTTACGCATGA